CCCATTATAAATGAGTTTTCTGATACTGTCAATCTTGTGCTATATTTCTTAGGAAATTCCTCCCTAAGGAAATTCCTCCCTAAGGAATTTTGTTCAATTTCTGATTTCTTTATTTATAAAATAAGGAGATGAACTAGACCAAAAGTCAATAAACTATGGCCCATGAAATAAATCTGGCCCACTCACTACCTGTTTTTGTAAATACGGTTTTCTTGGAACACAGTCACACCTGTGTATTGTCTGTCACTAATTTCAAACTACAAAGGCAGAGTTGAGTAGTTGAGTCAGAATCCCAATGGTCTGCACAGCCTAAAATACTATCTGACCCTTTACATAAAAACTTACTGACCTTGAACTAGACTATGGCTAATATTGAGTTTGGCTTAGGATTCTATAAAGTACAACCAAACGATACAAAAGCTGACTTAGTGTGTTTCTTATCTTCTTTATTTATACATTTTCTTATTCTTAAAAGGATTTTAATTTGCTCACAAAACTACATAGAACATATAACCACATAATGTAAAGTTTAAAGAGAAGAATGAGGAAATTATGTCAAAGGGAAAATGAGAGAAGAGACACAGCAGTGAAGCCAAGGGCATGTGAATGCACAGAATGCAAACCCTGAGACACTAGGTATTTTCAGAGGGTCACCAACTTGGCTCCAAGCGGCCATGACAAAAAGAGAGCCATGATCCCTCTCCCAATTTAGAGAGTTCACTGGAAGTTCACCAAGAGGACCACAGCAAACCTGGCACAAAGATCTATTTGTCTCCTGAGTCTGTGCATAGAATGGATAATATGAGACATAGTGAACAAAGTCCTCAACAATGCCCAAACGGTGGGGAGGTATCCTGATGGTATTTATGGCTACATGAAAATGTTCCTCATTGTGGGCTACCTCCAAATCCCAAAGTGGAATTTATTAGCATTTCTTCCAGTCCATTCCAAATTTTTGAAATAAGCATGTACCACTTCTAAAATAAAAAAATATTTTTAATTATAAGAAAAGAAAAGGAAGCAGTAACCCTTGACAGCCTGGTATTCACTTTGATGTGGAATCTCTCAGCCATGTGCTCCAAAAGAAGGCTCGGTCCAGTCATGCTGTTTTTGTGAAGCTAAAGCCTGAGTGCCGAGGTGAGAGATAAGATGAAGACAGGCTATTCTGAAACCTGGTCAAGGAATTTTTATCACTTTGATGATGAAGCTCCAGGCATTCGCTATAAAAAGCACTGGTGGATGGTGACTATCACTTGCCATTTTTTACATTGAGCTCTACAACTTTATATCTAGTTTATTATTATAAATAATTCACACCCTAGATCTCTGTTGCTCCCTGCTTTATGCATAGTGCCTAGAACAGTGCCTGGTGCAGGTAGGAAATAAGTACTTACTGAATGACTGATGTGCTTTTCTGAGAGATCCTAGACAAATGGGGAGTCTACAGATATGCTGAAGTTGTCTTGGAGAACCCTTTCCCAGCAGGGCCTTACCCACAATGCCCTGGGAGCTTTGAGACTCTCACCTGTGACAATGGAACAAGTGAAAAAGGGGCCCAGATGTGAAGGCTAAGCTTCTGAGCCCTGCGTCAAGGAAAACAAATTAAAAATTGAAAAGGGAAACTCTGAACAGCCGGGTGTCTAGTCTTGCTTTAGTCCCATTGTTGGAAGGATAAACATTTGAACAGCTCAAGACAAATACAGCTTTGGTTTCTGAACAGGCAGAGCTGCTTTCTCTTGCACACTGAGACCTCAATGAGAAATCTGTTCCTTGCTCAGAACAAGGACATGCCTTTTCCTAAAGGAGAGTCCTGTTCTGGAACTCTGAGATTGCTGCTTTCAGTGCAGTGGGACCTGAGTGTGTCAGAGCAACCCAGGCAGGATTTTCTCCAGGGAGTCCTTCAGAGAGCAGCTGGCATCCTGGGCAGTCCCAGGCAAGGGGGCCTGGGCAGGCTGTGCTTGTCCACACAAATGTTAAGAGAATCAAGCCAAGTAGCCTTAGGACCTAATTGGCTCAGAGACGGTAAAGTCAAAATATCACAGCCAAAGCGACAGCTGGAAGTGGCTTAGAAAAGAAGAGGCATTATCTTCGACTGGGAAGTAATGACATAGAAAGAGCACTAGACAGAAAGTCCAGAGGGATTCAGGTACTGGTCTGGTTCTGTCACTTGCGGCCACATATTCTTAGGCAAGTCGTTGCCCTTCTTATGCCTTGGTTTTCTCAACTTTAAATTGGAAACGAATTCATTGATAAGACTGACTTCCTTGTAACAAACCCCTATAACATAACAGCAAAATGAGAGATACAAACAAATAGGACATGGTCCTTACCCTTCAACCTGATCATAACATATAGTGTCTAACCCAGTGCCTGGCCCACAAGAGGCTCTTGATAATGTCAGTAGTAGTATCAAGGTGGATTGGGTGCACTTGGCCTGTGATTCCATTTCCACAGTGTCATCCACATCCACCTACTGGACCCCACTGTTCAGTTTTAGTTCAGGCTTTGCCCTCACCAGGTCCACTGCAGGAATCTCTTTGCATCCTGTCAGAGATGCCAGGAGCTCACTATCCTAACTGATCCTAGCACCTTCAAGCTCCCGCTTCACCAATTTGGTCTCCACTTGTCTACCAGCCTTCTCTACACAACCACCAATCATGATACCCTCCTCTTAAAAATCTCATTTCCTACAAAATTCAGTCCAAATTCTCTTGTTTAGTGTTTGAAAATCAGACAAGCTGTCTCCAGCCCACCTTTCCAGTCTTACTTCAACCTCGGGTGCCTTTGTGTTCGTAGCCGGAGCCTCTTTCCATCAACACCATGGCCCATCTCTGTTCCAGCTGTTCCTCACTCTGGAACGATTTCCTCTGCATTGACGTCAAGATCCTATTTCACATTTCAAAGCTCAACTGAAATGCTCTCTCTTTTATTAGATATTATTTACAGCTGATGGCCCACTAAGCAGTCTCTTTCTTGTTTTCAAGCTTGGGTATGTTTTTATTTTTTATATCATCTCTATCATCAAATGTGTGCTTGGTCCATCCTGAAATAGAAGTTTCAGCTCAAAGGCTTCCCTCACTGTGACTGCTTTCTCGATGTCCCCAAACTTCTCCAAACTCATCTTCTTCCACCCAATGCACATTCACACAATACTTGTACTCACAGCATTTCTCCTCCAGACATTCCTTCAATAACTTCCATCCACCGTGTGATAGAATCAGGATCACTCCTTGTTTCCCACAGGGCTAGAAAGAACACCTGGCTCTGAGTCGGTGCTCGGTAAACTCTTGGATGATGCTGATGAAGATAATTAAAACTGTCTGCAATGGCCACATGGAAGCCACAGAAGTTGCATATTTGTGCCATCACACTGTCTGCTGTTCCCGATCCACCATCACCACCGCATGTAGAGAAAGCACTGCCTCCATTTCATCCCAAGTAAATGTCCAGACCCAGAATTCAACCTCTTTAAGTTCCCCACACAGAATCTGCTCATGTACAAGCACTAAAGAACAATGGAGACTTTAATGAAAACTCTGAGGGATAAGGATGGTGGTTACATAGCAGAATCCACAGAAAGCCACCTTCAATTCCTTATTAGACACCCAGTACTGCCCAGTTTATCCTCTTTTGTCTTCCTCCTTGCAGCAAATGGCCTCATCAGTTTCTCCACTTCCTCCAAAACACTGACTTTTAATTTCTCCCCTTTTCATTTTGCTATCGATTGACATCATCCACAGCTTCATATTCAGACTCTTCAGAAGGCTCAGCTCATGACAGGCCCCTCAAGTAACAGAACCCTGTCCCTTTTGAAGGCTGCTTTGCTACCACCTTCGTGATTCAAGCATTCGGTGTCTTATTCTTTCCTGTAAGCTGTTTGTAAGATATTTGTCCCAAATATAGAGTTCTCCCCCAAAAGGATTCTAACAGGTGAAATTTCACCACCTCCCCACATCTACAGTCACCTCCTCACTGAGTTTTTGCCATTAAATGTTGAGAGTGATAATATCTATTTTCCAGCATCCCTACATGACCTTTAATCCACCCAGCCATCAGGATGTCCCCACTCATTCTGTCTGAGCCGAATGACTCCTTAACAAACTCCAGCTTCAGGCCCAGGAAAGGCAGCCCATACAAAACAGCTTCCAGAAACATAAGAAATCGTTTGTAATGCAACATCCTTCTCAGAGAAACTCTTGACCCAGAACAGATACAAGAAAGCCAGTGGGCAGGGCTATCCCTGGAAGGGCTCACATATGGCAGAAGCATGCCCCGGCCAGAGTGACCAATCTGTGCCTGTTTGTCCATAACTTTCCCAGCCTCTCACTGAGAAGTCCCAAGTACCCCTCAATCCCATGCAAACTGAGATGGTTGGTCACTATCCATGATACTTGCCAAGAACCAGGAGATCAGTGAAGCCAAGCTCTATATAAGCAGATCAGAGAGAAAGCAGGAAATGCACAGAGAAGGGGCAGGATGAGCCTTGGTTACAGGTGGGCCTAGGAGACAGCCTCATCAGACATAAGGTCAGAGGAGCAATGATCTAAGTACAGGGCCAGACAGCCTCAAATCAGCTGCCAACAAGTTTCACCAGCATGATTGAGGATCTAAACCGTGAGGAGGATCCAGATCACGCAAGGCAGGAGATTAGGAAACTGCCCAAAGGGGCTCTCTGCTTAGTGGCCAGAAGACAACAGTAACATCCCCAGATGGCCAACACACGCTCACGCACACATATACACACACTCAGAAGTCCCTCCCCAGCAGAACCTCTGAGCCCCAGACGCTGGCCCGCTCTGCAAATCCCTCCACAAACCACTGGCTTAGATGTACCTGAACCCAGCCTCTCCTCCATGACCACACATAAGTACTCTGTTTATCCTACCTCCCAATAGCCAGTGGCCTAAAGAAGACCCCACAAAACATGACATCCCTATAAACAAAGTGACTGTGGACCGAAGAACAGGAATCCTCTTGTGAGGAGGGTGTTGAGGACTCACCAGGACTCTGCCGGTCAGCGTCTGGGCAGATATCATCACCCCCGCCCAGTCCTTCACAGAAGTCATCCAGCCGACCTCGGCTGCCACTGCCTCTTCTTTTTCGTCCACTGGCTTGAGAGTGCCATCCGCCTGGCTTGAGCCATTGTTAATCTTCTGGGCCTCCTGGCAACAAAGAGAATAAGGATTGAGACTTAGGGACAAGGTAGATTTTAAAGACACAACCTATCCAAAAAAAATCAAAGCTGGAAGGGTCCTCATTTAAGGTGGGAGCTGGCTTGAAGGTGCAGGGGTAGGGGAGAAGGAAAAGATTATGGATTTGATCATTTTTTAAAATCTTTTAAAAAGAGTCTTCTTTCTCCTTCAAATATCTTTATGAAAGAAAGAAAAATGTGATTATTCTCTTCCTTTGCTAAAGAAACAAAGCTCAGGAGGAAAAGCATCCTGTGTGGGGTCTCTGCCTATCCAACCTTCATGCCCTTCTCACTGGAGCCCTCAATCTTCCCTTTAAGGAAGCCTCCATCTCCTCATCTCCATCTGTATGGTTCAACAGGGACTGATACGCCCACGCTGGCCCAGGAATTGACACTGGTCAACCATATCATTCCATGCCCCTGCCTTCAGTGATGGGGCCAGGGACAGTCACATGACGCACACCAACCCAATACACACCCAAGTCCGGGATTTTTGCCAGAAAGAGCAGAAAAGAAAATTCTTCCCTGAGAATGAAGGCACCACAGAGAAAAGCAGAAGTGACAGAACACTGATGTCATCATTTCAACACCTGAATCCAGCTGTGCCTGAGATCCACAGCAAACATCTTCGGTTATAGGAGACAATAAATTCCCCTTCGTGGCTTGAAATATGCTCGACGAAACAAGGCTGACATCATCCGATAACTGAGCCCCACATCGGGCCCTAAACTGTACTCTTTTGCACACAATGTGCCCTCTGCCTGGAATAGTCTTGTCCCACACAGTCTCAGCTTGCGCCCTCACCTCCCTCAAGTCTTTGCTCAAATATCATCTTTTTAATGAAGCCTTCTCCAGCTACTGTTTTAAAACTGCAACCCTATAGCGACCCCTCCAACAGCATCGCCTTTCTTATTTTTCTCCATAGCATTTAAAACCTCTAATACACTCTGTAATTCACTTACTTATTTCAAATACTATCTGCCTCCCCCAAATGCTATATCCCCAGAGCCTAAAAGAGTGCCTGGTATACAGCTGGCTCAATAAACTTGAATGAAGGAATGAAGGAATGAAGGAATGAATAGGGTTATAAGTACCAGCTCCTCACTGACTATGTAACTTGAGCTTAGGATTGCTGAATAAAATACAGGACACCCAGAAATTTTGAATTTCAAATAAAAAGTAATTTTTTTAGTGTAACTATACCCCCAAATATTACACAAACCATACTTATACTAAAAACACACTCATTTTTTTATCTAAAATTTAAATTTAACTGAGCCCTGTACTCAAATACTCGCTGAGATTATTTTGGCAGATATAGATATTTTAAAAGATGCCAGCAAAATTATGTTCATCATTTAAAACACTAGAATTAACTTCCAAAGGAAACTGACCCTGAGGATCATTGTGACTTGGAGTGAGGGGGGAAAAGCAAAAGCGGAAGTGAAAATCTTTGTCTGCAGTGAATAAGAGTGGTGCAGAATGAGAAAACGAGAGCTGGCAGGCACTGGATGAGTCATCCTCTTGGGGACCTGCAGGCAGGCAGGAAGCTGCTCCTGAGGCCTGGTTCTCCCCCTCCAGCCACCTCTGACCCAGTGAAGCTGGGAAGAGAGAAGCAGCACTAGCGACACCAGGTGCTCATGTCTTATTTCCAAGTGTGTGGGGCCCTATGGAGATAGAAGAGTTCAAGAGGAGGCTGCAGGCAGTGTGGTTGGGGGCCGCCTGCTGACATCTGTGGAGCCCGCTGCCCAAGCCACCTAAAGCCAATCTCAGTGGCTTGGTAGGACCCCGAGTCTCAGCTATGTGGAGACTCTGCACAAACGGGTTCTCTAGAAGAAAAGGAGACTCTGATCCAGAGGCAGCCTTAGTAACTGAAGGTGTAGATTCAGCTCTCCTGCCCCTGCGGGACCTCCCCTATGAGATGGGGCAATGTTGCCTGCCTATAGGCATTGTGGGGATTAAACAGTGCCCAACAGCACATAATACATGTTCACTTAATTATTCCTCCAGCCTCTTGCTTCTCTTTCAGCCACTGACACTCTAGCAGTGGTTCTCAAACTTGAGCAGGCATCAGAACCACCTGGAGGGCTTGTTAAGACAAGGTGCTGGGCCCGAGCCCCGACCTACATGTCTAAGTTCTCAGGTGATGCTGATGCTGCTGGTCTGGGAACCCTACTTTGAGAGCCACTGGTCCTAATCATCCTGGCATGGCTTGATCATCATCACTCCCCTGATCTGAAATGGGACACAGATCTTAACATCCAGCCTTTCCCAGCCTCTTCCTTTTCCCAGGCACAGAACCACCTGCTTATTTCAGAACTAGAGAACAAGGGATGGAAAGGGAAGAAGTCAAGGCAGGGAGAAGGGTCTCCCATCAGAGGCTCTGGTGTTTCCTTTAGAGTAGTGCCTCCCAGGGACATTCTGAACTGATACAGGGCCATGGCCAGGGGGCCTGGTAACTCTCTGCTCCTCAACTCGGGGAGGCTCAGGCTCCCAGCCACCTGGCCAACACTGGAGGAGGGAGTCAGCGTAAAAATGGCTAGGAGGCAGGAAGTCCTCTCCAGTCACAGTGGTTTCAATGCATCAATAATTCACAGCACAAGCAGTATATGGCAGATAATGCTCTCTTGCCAGCCTTCTTACCTATTGTTTTACAAGGCATTCATTATTTTAATTACTTTATGATAGGCAAAGCAAAACACAGACAAAGGGAGATAATGCCCTTGTTATTATTTGCTTACATTGGATGTTGCAAGCTTAATTACACGCGTGGGAGGCAGGACGGGGGGAGTGGCGGGGAGAGTGAGGAAGCTGGTGCTCTACTAAGCTTGATGCCAGCGGGCCAGGTTAGTGCTCTGTCTCCACCTCTGACCTCACTCTGGCCAACGCATCCCTCATCTAGAGCAGGGATTATAACCCCATGCTTCAGAGTAAAGGGGGCAGAGGCCTTGCTGGAGACACACGGGGGAAGGAGCGGTGAGGGCCAGAGTGAATTATAATAGTGATTGGCCATCATTTATCAATCCAAAACCAGGTGTCAGAAACTACAAATTAAGTGTTTTTATGCATGATCTTGCCTAGACCTTATAATAAATCCAACAGGCAGGTAGAATTATCCCCCTTTTACACACAGGGCAAGTGAGAGCAGGTATTTCTCAGGGGAAGGCACAGAGCCCAAGAGCTTGGGCTGGACACAGAGAGCCTACCTGGGCTTAGGTCTGCTCTACCACTGACGAGCTGACTCCCATGGGCATGTTAGCTCCCAAGTCTTGGCCTCCTTCATATAAAATAGGGACAGGCATGCAATAAGGTGGTGGGAAAGCTCATGTGAGAAGAGCAATGCACAGCACTTGGCATGGTGCTTGGTGCGCGGCAGTTATAGCAGCCAAGATGGAGCACCCATTGATAGGACTGGTTGCCTCCAAGGATACAAATGCATCACTGCATCAATTGACAGCCCTGAGAGGACAATGGCCCAGAGTGAAACCTTAATAAATAATTACAGAATGAAGCATAAATGAGTGTAGGTTCTAATGGCTATGACCCTGAGAGGTAAGGTGCCCCAGCTTCAGGAGAGGTTCCAGCAGGAGCTGCGTGGCACTTCCCAGGACAACTGGGGCAGAGTCCTACACAGAGTGAGACCTGGACCAAGTGGCCATTTAGATCCCTTCTGACTCTGAGCTCTATTAGATCAACTTTTGATTGGAGTTGAGGACCAGAGAGAAGCTGTCTCCTGGGTCCCAAGATACTGCTCATTCTTCTGTGCCCCACAGGATGCTGCTTCAGGGGGAACAGCACTTTGTTCTGAATGGCAAAGTGGGCATCCTCCATCCCCAAACTCCCACTTCCCAATGCAGAGAAAAGATGCAGTGGAGGAGAAAGGAGGATGTAGAAGAGGGAAGAACAGGGTAAAAGAGAGACTGGGCAGGGCAGGGTGGATATCCTGGAATGTGGAGGTCCTGCTATAGCACCCCCTGAGAAAGGGGCTCAGTCTTGCTTCGAAGGTCACTCCTCCCTCAAGCCATGCTCTCTCTCTTCACCAGAGTCTTGTGTAAAACAAGCCACAGTTGCTTCCCAGGGATAACACAGGACAACATCTAATCACAGTGCCCAGACCAGAGGGTGGGGAGGGCTGTAGGGTGAGGGTGCAGGTACAGGAGGCTGGGGGACACCAGAGAGCAGAGTGGCTGGCAGTTCTCTCCTACTGCCTGCCCATCAGACCACCTCTCATAGGGTTGGGCCTGGGCTTACACTGTCACCCTTTTTTGCCTTCTCCCCATTCTTTTTAAGGAGATTTTCCCCAGTGGCTTCCTATTGACATGGCCACAGAGGGCCTTACCACTCCTCTGTCTCCTGTGGACAAAGACTTGACCAGACCACAGTCACCCAGAAGTCACTATACAGAGCACACATCTGTTGGATTTGGGGCATTTTCCCTGAAGGTCAAAGACCAAAGCCTGAGAAGGAACCTCAGCAACCAGTTTAGCTGCCAACACCCTTCCCTGTACAGATGAGAATACTGAGGGCCTGCAGGGGTAGGAGGAACCACATGACCCGTGCCACCTAGTCCAGCCAGGTAACCCCAAGCCAAGACATAAACCCCCAGCTGGCTCTATTTCCCTTATCTCTTGTTACTTCCTCAGTTGGATGATTCCTTCAAATCTAGCCAAGGGAACCCATCACTCACAGGCAGTTCACTCTGCCACGCCAGCCTGCAACCTGGAGTCCATGTGTTCCTAGGACAGCCAGAAGCCTCCACTCAGCCTGATCCAGAGTTTGAGTGTGGGGGCCATGGAGGGAACAACCTTTTTGTCTTCAAAGGGCTAGCTTTCCCTAGCAGTGGGAGCAGCCCCAGCCCAGCACAAGAGCAAGCCCGTTCTAATCCCAGGACCCACAGCCCACAGACTCCAGCCCTCAGATTCAGTCCATGTCTTCTGTTTTTCTTGAATTAGACCCAGTATATGAGGAATT